ATGAAACGAACCGTAAATCAACGTCTCCGTGTAGCAAGCGGCATGGTCGTCTACTTGTTGGCACCGAAAGCATTGTCGAACTTGCGAATGGCTTCGGTAGCGCGAGCCTCATAAAAGGCTTTGCGTGCACATGCTTTCTGGTCGTTGTTGGTGGTACCTCTAGTGGTGTCGGTGTTGTCTTGGAACATGAAGCGAGCCTCGACGGTGCTGTCATCCAAGGAGTCTTGAGACTCGAACATGGCTAGGCGTTCGTCCTGGAGAGAGTGGTCGTCAAAGGGGACATTTACATCCTGAGAAGTCGAAGCAACAGATCCTGACTGGGACACGTTGGACCGTCCGACAGTCCTGGTGCCGGTGGACATGGAGTCATTGTGGGCGGGAGCCTCTCGCTTGCTAATGAGAATAAAAATTTAGTTAAAGGATCTCGGGGTAGCTTTTGCTACGTCACGTTGCCCTTGTGCGTACTTGGAATCGCCCTTGTTGGAGGGAGCTTTGGGTTTTGTACCTCTAGTTGAGGTTAGAGGTTGGGATGTCGTACGGTCACGGTGAGAGGGCATGGTGATCGGAGGAATGCTTCAAAGTAGTGGAGTGGCGGCCGAGAAGGTATAGAAGAAGGACTCTAACTCAGGTATATAGGTTGGGAAGATATGCGAGAGTTGGCGGTCAGTTGCTGCTTCGTTGCTATGAGAGAAGGGGGGTGCCGGGCTATATATATAGGAAAAGGGAATGAGAATACGGGCTGTCGGCATGATGGAGTTTTCGCTTGAGAGGTCATTATAGAAAAACCAATGAGGCAGTGGTAGGAGTTTTCTTGTGCCAGTGCCATGAAAGGTCATGTTCGAAGTAGGTTGTCATTCCACTTTTCCCTCTTGGTGAAGAAGCTTGCCGGCGAGCGAGAGCGCCGAGGACGGAATCACGACGAATGACAATCAAAGGGTCCAAATCCCAGCCATTGCGTCTCCTGTGCTGCAGTTAGTCTCCTTTACAAGGTGTTTGGCTTGGCGGGAGTGTCCCGAATTATTTTTTGTAAAAAGTGAAAGTGTCGCCTACCCACAAACTGCGCTCAGGCTATTCGCGTGCACATGTCTCTATGCGCCCACGTTACGTGCCGTACTAGTTGTACGTCACGCTCTAATCCAGACAGTTTCATTATGTAGATCAGAAAACCAGGCTTGATGGTTGAATGTAATCAAAACACGTGCCTTTACTATCTCTTCGCATATTGCATTGGCCGTAGTTGGTACTAGACGGAGCATCCACTGGAGATCTGAACGCTACGATGCCATTCCCAGGCTCGCCCATGCAGGGTACACAGGTCAGTAGGTAGGTGAGGTTGAGAAAAGTCCCGCCAATATGGCCTCGCGGCCTCGATGTTGGGCGGAAAGATGACAAGGAAGAGAGCCTTTGCAAAAGACTGGTGTTTGGGCTGACCAAGGCCAAAGTTGACGGCTTCCACTTTGGGAGGCCACATTCGATTGATTCGAAGTTTCCCGGGTTGAGTGAACTCATACTGTGAACCGCAGAGCCTCAGCACTGGTGGTGCGCGCACCAGAATGCAGTAAGACATTACGTAGGTAGCGGTGCGCGAACCACTTCGGGTCCCATCCTCGAGTCACATAGGAAAGCCCGCCAATAGGGAGCCAATAGGGAGCCGTTGCCCCTTGGCCAGCGAAGCAACCTTTACTATAGCTTGGTTCGCCAAGGTGATCACTCCCTTAAGGCTCAAGCTGCTCTTCTTCTCTATCCTTTTTTTTTCCGCCAATCCTCCTTGGGCTTCTTCACCAGCACGGAGGGTTAGGTATTCGCGCCTCGCTTATACGTACTGGAAACTGGTATTTACAAGAAATACGTGCCTGTATCCAGGCACAATTCGCCACGCAAATTGCATACCTCTATCGAGGTACCTTCTGTCCGTACTGGCACTTGGCGAACCACTTTTCAGCAGGCAGGGCACCAAGAATAAGGCAACCTTGCTGGGCTGAGTTCCCATCTTGCGGTACGTACCAGGATGGTGTTGGGCGCCTTCTGGAGCTTTTGGGCGCCTTCTGTTCCCAACAAAAGTCTCACCACATCCAACAAAGAATCGCTTGCAACTTTCTCCTTGACTTCATCCTCTTGTTAACTCTAGCAAGCGTTGTGTCTGCTAGCTGTGATGATATGCGTTCCGCGCCCATATCGCAGTCTGACAGTTGTGTCTGCTAGCTGTGATGATATGGGTTCCGCGCCCGTATTGCAGTCTGACACCAGGGCAGCCAAAGCTCAATGTTCCAATCCCAGCGGCAGGTATGCGATTCACCTTTCCACGCTGAATAGGTAGCAACGCTAACAGCACAATTACCTCTAATAACCCTTCAGTTGATGGGATATTTTATGACAAGGCAGGCCATCGGCCGGCGAATCGCAACCGGCACCCTTCGATGCCTAGGACTGAGGCCAACTGATACCCAAGGAGGGTGCTGGCATCGGATGAGCGTCCATCCTAACGACGGTATCGTTTTGCCTGGCATGGGTCGACACAAAGATGTGCGGAGCGACATCAACCTCGGTCCTGGGTCTAGGCACGCAACATGATGCGTTTCGGGGTTCAGCCTCGATATCATGAAACGTTCGCAAACCGAGTCATGGAGAGACTGAGTGCTCAACCTGGATCCCCAACACACGAAGCAAACACTGCCAACCTTTACCGTCGTGGACAGTTACCAACCCACGATGTTGAACCATTTGCAACGAGAGTCCGAAGCTCGCCAGCATCGGTACCAAGCCCCTCCGAAGCCCATATGTGTCGAAGGGCATGCGCACAGGGGCACCCTATGGACCACCCAGGGCAGTTCTCGGCGTTGAGACTATGAGAGAGAACCAATGCTCCAATGTTTTTGGGACATGGGCGGAGTGTCTCACTCGACAGTCTCGGAAACCTGGCCGCTACGAAAGTTTGTCGACTTGACCTTTGCGTCTGCGCTGCGCGCACACCTCGAGGAGTGGCGATCGATCGATAGACGCCTAGGCTCCTCCCATGGTCGCCGAGAAACTCGCTGATATGACCGTTCCTTCACTGATAAACGAGCTCTCACGGAAAACCCCAACCCGGTTTACCAACAATAAATGCCCCGATCTTCCCAACCAGTTCGAAGCTATTGCCGGATCATCATGCACCACGACTGTCGGTCGACGGCAATGACGATGAAACCGATATGACCGAGAGCCACGAAGCTTTGTGCATGACCGCAAGGACCACCTGAAAACCTGTCGCAGCATCTCGGCCATGCTTCTTCCGATCTATCACCACTCGGCATCCACCCATCAACCTGACCACGCTACCACTCCGATTCCGAACCAGCATCGCCATAGGTCCTTCTCCGCCTTCTGAGCCGCCTCCTCCGCATCGCCTCTTCGCCAGAGGTAGACCGGACCCTACCCAAACACCCGCAACCACACAAGACCTCGCAACGCAACATGCCATAGGAAGTGGCACGAAGAAGATCCAAACTGGGAAAGTCGCCGTAAGCAGTGATACCCCAAGAGCCGGTGATTCCTCAGGGCGGAGGTGGTATCGCCTCCCCAGGTCCCCAACCTCTTCAATGCATGCCTGCTGTCATGCGCTCCTTCTGCTCGCCCTCCAGAAACGAATCTCTCGAAAGCCACAAACTACCGTCCGATTTGGGTATGCAGGAGGCGTCAAATCCAACAACCGTCGGAGGATCCCTGTTTCCTCCATGTCTGGCCTCGGCGTCATGGTTGGCGCATAGCTGCTGCGAATATCTCTCCGATGAGATGGTGCTGTACCTAGGGAGATGTTATCATCTCCTCGCGCAGATGGGGGTGGTGTGGAGGTCTTGGGCGTCGATACAGACGGACGGGTGAAGGTTCAGCTAGGTACGTATGGCCGTGTACGATGCCTGAAGCCCAGGTGTACGACAGACAGAGCGTCATATCTTGGCCGTGCGCACATACGGCAAGAACCAGTCATTGTCGGATCTGGAGTTCGCACAGTCGGAAAAATCCATGAAGAATCTCGAATAACGCAGTCTGGACGAAACCGAGACGACCGGATGAGGCCTTCTTCCATCCTGCCATGGTCCATGTGTTGGAGGATGTACCGGCTGTTCATGCAGATTTCGCCAACTGTTCATCCCGGAGATCGGCCCACGGTGACTTTTTTTCCCGCATGGAGCGGAAGTTGGAATTCGCAACGAGGTGCAAGATATCCAATGATGATATCATGACTGGAGTTGGTTGGAAATATGGTGACGGTTAGAGCAGCCCACTGTGTTTTCAGGTCCGGAAGTCTGCAGTTGGCTCATGGCTGGGTTGTGGTTGGCTTGATCACAGAAGTACGACATGGAGCGGACGTGACTCAGGTGCCCGACTGGATGAAAGAATGGATGGATTCGCCAGGTTTTGTTGTCTTGAATAATAGGTACGGGAGATCATGGGCGGATGTAGGTAGGTACTAGGTACACTCGAGAGGATGCCCTGGTTGTCGTTTCGACGAAAGAGCGACACGGACGCGACAACCCCTACTGGTACCTCTCACGTCTCTGATTCGGGAGTCCTCCCTCTCCACCGGCTCGAGGAGTTCTGAACGCGGAGATTAAGCTCAGAGGGCTTCCATTGCCCGGCTAAATTCGATGATGGCGCGTCGCAATAGCGAGTGAAGACGCCGAACTCCGAAGTCGAGTTGTGCTGGGTCACGGCGTTGCGTCTCACATTTCGATTGACGACTGAAGACACTGCTCAAACGTCCAGTGGCGGTCGAAAGAAGAGAGGAGAAGAAGGCCGGTTATGGTGGGAAATGACTTTGAATCCAGAGCAGAGAGCATTCCAGCGATATTGCGCCTTTTTTAACCGGTAAACACGCCCGAATGTTTCGTCATGTTGAGGTTGTGTCGCGATGGTGTGTCTCGTCCAAGCTTCCCGAGTCTTGGAGATCAGACCTAGACTGAAGCTCAAATTTTTTCCCTTCATCAGCAAGGATTTTTCTTACTTCTACTAATCTAATTGGGCAATTGGTCTAGTGGTATGATTTCCGCTTCGCATAAACTTTGCTTTGTGGAAGGTCGCGGGTTCAATTCCCGTATTGTCCATCGATTACTTTATTTTTGTACTCCTTTTTTCGCCATCGTATTGCATCGTCCTCCTTTCTCTTTGCTTGATCTTTCTCGGGGTCTATCGTAGATGGGATAATGTAAGCAGTCATATCGTCGTTCGTTCATGATCGTTCTTTTTTTGCATTCCCGGTTATCCTAAGGAGAGCTGATACGATTACATAGACGTTAACCGCCAAAAGTCGCTAGAACGCGGGGAAGCGTGAACTTGCCCAACCCATCACCACTATTTTCGTCACGAAACATCATTAACCCTTCCCTCCAATCATCCACCCACCCCAGCTATAACTTCCAACCACCTTCCTAAACTTACTCAAACCGGAATTTCTCACCTACCATAAACCTAACCTCAACCTCCCCTTTACTAAAACGACGGGACTTACCGACAATGGCCCGCTCCGAAGAAGCCCAAGCCTTCTTCCACGCCGTCTACTCCGCCGTGCAAGAGATCCCCCACGGCAAAGTCACCAGCTACGGCCACATTGCGAAGCTTGTGGGCACTCGTACGTGTCACATCCCAAGTCCTCCCCAGTCCTCCCGCTCACTTCCCTTCCAAGTCCTCCCACTCACTTCCCTTCCAAGTCCTCCCACTCACTTCCCTCCCAAGTCCTCCCACGCACCTCCCTTCCCCCACCCTTCCCCAGACACACTTCCCATCATCCCCTGACGATCATCACTCTCCCCTCTCCCCCCGTCCATTTCCGTGGTGCACAACGAAGTACGTTGTGGAGATGCTAACACAAGCCACGAGGACAGCCCAACGACCCAGACAAGTAGGCGTCTGCCTCAAACACCTCCCCGTTGACCCGTCGGCGAGGTTTAATCATGAGAATGTACCGTGGCAGAGGGTGATTAATGCCAAGGGGGTTATTTCTCCTAGGTATGTTGCATGTCACATTTGCCTGGGTTGGCAGGTTGGATGTTGGTTTTGTTTATCGAAGAAATTAAGCTGGATGGAGGGAGGGAAGGACTATTTGTGGATTGTAGTGGTGAGAGAGCAGAAGCTGACTAGAGGTGTGCATCAAGATCTCAACCGGAGGGATCACGTAGCCAGGCGGCGGCGTTGGAGGCTGAAGGTGTAGTTGTTACGACGGGGGCGTTGGGGGAGCTGATGGTGGACTTTGCTGAGTATGGATGGTTTCCGAGGCGGTTGCCGTCTGAGGAAGGGGATGAGTTTGATTCAGGGGATAGCGAGGAAGGGGATAGTGATGAGGAGCCATGAGAGACATCACCAAGGATACGAAAGAGCATGGTCACAATCATAGCAAGCAGGCGTCACGGTTACGGAAGACAATCAGTGAATATAAAGATCAAGTGTCATTGATAGCTATTCTGCAGTGCACCGAAGCGACAATGACTTCGCATATTCCAGCGAGCCTCGAGTGATGCCAATGAAGATAACCTGTCTTTGCAATATGTTAGCAACAGAGCTCGCATCAAATGAATGACAACATAAACAAGTGTGATGATGCTTTCTCAGATAGCGGTTGGACAAGTTTTTCCACATAGTATTTCGGTACAGGTCTGTGAACATTGTTTTTCTCATCATAAAAAGCGGAGGTGGGATGGTGCAAATGCATGAAAGAGGGAAAGGAACATACCAATTGGTGACACTGATCAATCAACCCGTCGCTTTTTGGCAGCGGGTTTGAAGAATGAGTCCATCGTCTTCTGTTTGTTGTCGAACTTGGCACTACCAATCCCACCCCTTGTCCTTTTCAGGCCTTGGAGGTGGTCAAGAGCATTGACCCGAACAACAGTCAACCTGACAGTTGACTTCTCGGTCTCCTCGGACGATGAGATGACATCTACATTGATCTCGAGGTATCCGGTGTTGCTCCAAGAAGCGAGGAACTCTGACCTTCCGGCAACAGAGCCCGACGACGGCTTGGAGTTGGCAAGCCTCGTCGTCTCTTCCGGGGCGTAACGCGCCAGAAGGGATCTCAGGAGCGAGTTGAGGATCAAGCCATGCGCGACAACTACCACGGAGGTTGGTGTCTTGGACGCATCACCGTCGAGAACACTGTCCAGCAGCGGACTTAGGTGGGCTTGTATGAAGGCAGTGGCTCTTGCGCGCATCTCGTCATGCGTTTCGGCATCGGGATGCGGCGTGCCAAAGCCCTTCCCCTCTGCGGATCGGAAGTCGCGTTCGCGCAGCTCAACAACTTGGACAAGATGGAGCTTGGGACGGTTGACATCTTCCTTGTCCGTTGCCTGCTTCACCTGGGCATCGACAATGGCCTGGGCAGTGTTGACTGCGCGTTGCAGATCGGAAGAAAAGATGTGCGTGACAGGACCGATTGAAGACGTCCGCGAGGCAAAGTGGGAGGCCAGACGACGGGCCTGCAAAACACCGTGGGTAGTGAGGGCAGAGTCACGGATGCCTGCGCTGGGGTGTGTTAGACAATGTCGTGGACATATGCTTGATCCGGAGTGAACATACTATAAACCGGCCACGTTGTCGACGGTCTCTCCGTGTCGGACCAGGAAGAGCCGCATGTTGTTGTTGAAAGATGAAGATGGACGACGAGACGAAGGACAGCATATGCCAATCGTCTCAGTTGTCCATGTTCAGGTGGCGTATGACGGATTCATCATCGCCGGAATGGGAATAGCAAACCGCGGGGGAAGCAGTTGCTGTGTCAATCGCCCAAACGAATGGTGATTTGTGGAAGGGGTAAAAGGGAAGAAAATTCCAACAAAATCGCGGCAGAAAAGAAAATTTAAAAGGGCACAGCGCAAGTGGAGCACTGGATGCCGGTGTCCAGGGTCCTCCCCGCCTGGAACGTCCACTAACTCCACCTTGGTAACTGATAAGGATGCGATAAGGAATCAATTTCCCAAAAATTTCTGGACCGCTGGAAGCTCCAGGCGAAGGGTCGGACTGGAGGTGTGCTGTGAACACAGGGACCGGCTTCCACTCTTGCGACTTCGTTCCTTTGCATCTTCTTTTCGACTTGATATCCAACAGCCGCCAAGATGCCCAAGAGAAAGGTTGCCGCCCTCGAAAAGGTCGATGCTGACCTGGTCAGTTTGCAGTACAAAATCAGGAGGGATCCCAAGTGAGTTTGTTTGTTATTTTTGTTGTTGCCGTCGCCAATTGCTGCCATGATCAACATCATTGTCGCGTCAGTCGCAAACTTGTCCATTGTTTATGTTTACTAACACCATGACCCTTCCTCCTCTTCCAGATCATATGCCCAAGAGTTCTACGACCAGTGGCTCGCATACGATGCCCAACGACAAATCTTCATCTCGTCTCCTTCCTCTGCCTCCAGCGAAGACAACAAGAAATTCCACGACCTCGTCGACCTCATCGCCCACTGCGCCGATCTCTACCCCGATGTCACTGCCCCTTACTTCGACCAGCTTAAGGAACTCTTGACTCAACACCATGCCGTCCTCAACCCCGATCTCCGCGAAAAGGTCGTTGGCAGCTTGTCCCTCCTCCGTCGCAAGGATGTCATCGACTCGACCAGCCTGCTCACCACTCTCTTCCCCATCCTGATCTCGACTCCCTCCAAGTCTCTTCGCTCTCTGCTCTATACCAAGATCATTAGCGACCTGCGCGAGTCCAACTCCAAGGCTACCAACCACAAGCTCAACCGCACCATCCAGACCGTCCTACACAACCTCGTCACCTCAGACCGCACCTCGACCAAGGGCATGTGGGCCTGCCGTATCACCCGCGAATTGTGGCGCCGCCAGATCTGGACCGACGCCCGTCCCTGCGATGTCATGAAGGAGGCGTGTTTGTCCGACAACGAGAAGGTCGTCATCGGCGGTGTTCGCTTCTTTTTGGGCGGCGACAAGGAGCGCGAGGAGATGGAGGACGATTCTAGTGACGAGGAGATTGACATTAAGAAGGTCAAGCACCAAGGCACTATCAACAAGAAGACCAAGAAGCGCCAAAAGGCCATGGAGAAGGCCATGGAGAAGATCAAGAAGCAGGAGCGCAAGAAGCACGCCCCTCACCCGCTCAACTTTTCCGCTCTCCACCTCATCCACGACCCCCAGGGCTTCGCCGAGCAGCTCTTCCAGAAGCACTTGCAAAATACAAAGTGCAAGTTCTCCCTCGACAACAAGCTGCTGGTCCTCCAGCTCGTCACCCGTCTAGTCGGTCTGCACAAGCTCACCATCATTTCCCTGTACCCCTGGTTCACCAAGTACCTCACGCCCAAGCAACCGTCGGTCACGTCCTTCCTCGCCTCGTTGGCGCAGGCCACACACAACCACGTCCCTCCCGATGCCATCGAGCCCCTCGTCGTCAAGATCGCCAACGAGTTCGTCTCCGAAGCCTCCGCCGCCGAAGTCGCTTCCGCCGGTATCAACGCCATCCGCGAAGTTGCTCTGCGCCAACCGCTGTGCATGAGCGAGACCCTCCTCCAGGATCTCGTCATGTACCAGAAATCCAAGGACAAGGGCGTGGTGATGGCCGCCAAGGGTCTCCAGTCTCTGTACCGCGAGGTCTACCCCGAGCTGCTGCAGAAGAAGTTCCGTGGCAAGGAGGCCACCATGGGCTTGAAGTCGGGCGAGGTCAAGAGGCTCAAGTTCGGTGAAGAGCAAGTGGAGAGCGGCATCGAGGGTATCGAGCTTCTCGAGAAGTACAAGGAGGAGCAGAGACTCAAGAAGCTTGCCGAGAAGGGCGAGGACGCCGATGGGGACGCCAAGATGGGTGACGACGAAGATGAAGACGGGTTCAACTCGGACGAGTGGGAAGTCGCCTCCAACGATTCCGACTCCTCCACCGGCTGGATCAACGTCGAGCACTCGGACGACGAGGACGAAGGACCGGCAGCCAAGAAGCAGCGTCGGGACAGCTCAACAGCTCCCGATCTCATCTCCGACGAAGCCATGGCCGCCGCCGCCGAAGCCAACCGCATCTCCAAGCTGGCCATGACCACCATCCTCACGCCCGCCGATCTCGCCAAGCTAGCCGAGCTGCGTCGCGAGGCCCAGCTCGACAAGATGACCGGCAA